GTTTCTTTTTCGTCAATTTCAAACAATATATGTTTATCATATAATCCATTTTATGTGGTACCAAGAGAATTTAGAGTTAATTAAATTTTTTATATAAGTTTTAAATAATTAAGTTGTTAATTATTTTAATGTATAGTATTACTGATATTATTTTTAAATATATTTAAATATTATATGTTAGGTTTTTTATCCTAATTTATATGGCATTGATAGAATTTAAAGTGTCAAATAATTGTTAATTATTGTAATAGATAAGATGGAGTATTTAAGTCATTTATAGTATAGTAATTAATATATAATATGTAGTATTTAAGTGTTATATTATGGAATTTGAGAAGTTATTGAAATTTTTATATGATTTTAAAAATATTTTAAATTGTTAGCTATTGTGATTTGTAGTACTTTTAAAATATTTTAAATTCATAACTATATATTTCAATGTACAAGATTTTGATAAAATAAAATCTTTAAAGTTAAATTATAATGTTTTTGAAATTTAAATTATTAAAACATATATAATGATTTTATAGAAAAAATAATATCATATAAAATTAAATGAAAAGGATAATAAATTCAACTTTTACCATGATAAGGTTGAAAAATATTATTTAAGTGGAAGGAGGTGGGGCCCACTTGTATATTTTATATAGTAAGTATTGGACATTTGTAATGATTTAATTGGAACAATGGTAGTAAATCCTAGACTCTTCTAATATATAGTAATTAGTATTATATAATATATATGTGTGATGAGACTTGAAATTGTTTAGCACCGCAAATGTCCTTGTTGAGGGGAGGTTTTCTTTTGCTGAGGTTGGGGTGTCACATACACCCCCTCTATGGACTCAACGTCCTTGCTGAGGTTTACCCCACACTACATAAGATTTTTCTAGACTCAACACTATGATATTTCTCGCCTTATCGGAATTGCTTAAACTCAATTGAAGTCAGGGTCATATCGATAAAATTGACACATGATCGACTCTGATATTAAACAGATTCTCTCCCTCGCACCTCACTCACTTTCCTTTTTCTATTCTTTATTAGTATTATATAATAGATCTGTTCCAACCATTCACGTACATAAGAAGAGTGATATTTTTTTTAATGGACTAACATGACAAATAAAACAAACAAAGCAGTAATGAAAACTACAACAAATTAGATTATGAGGGAAAAATAATTTCATCATCTATAAATCATATTTCGTCACTAAAAATTTTGTGTGGCTCAAAAAATTTCGTCAATCAGTTGTCACTAAAAATATACAAAGACGATTTAGTGATGTTTACCTTTCCTTTTTCTATTCTTTATTAGTATTATATAATAAATATATGTGTGATGAGACTTGAAATTGTTTAGCACCGCAAATGTCCTTGTTGAGGGGAGGTTTTCTTTTGCTGAGGTTGGGGTGTCACATACACCCCCTCTATGGACTGAACGTCCTTTTTGAGGTTTATTTTACACTGCATGAGATTTTTCTAGATTCAACATTATGATTTCTAGACTCAACACTACGATCGTCACTAAAGACTATTTTTTATATAAAAAAAAAATACTTTGTCCTTAAATGTATAAATTAGGGATAAATTTATTATTATAAAAAAGGTTAATAATTTTGTGATTAAATCTATTATTTTGTCACTGAAAGTGTTGCTTTTACCAACGACATATATTGTCACTAAATATTATCATAAGTAGTGACAATTACAATTGTCACAAAATAAAAAAAAGTTATTCATATTCAACAAAAAAGGGTACTACGACAATACATTTTTTGTCACTGAAAGTAATCAAGTTGTGATAAATTAATTTATTTAATGACAAAAATATTTGTATCAAAATTCACCCATGATCATATAATAAAAATAACTAAAATTATACTAAAGCATAAATGACAAGAAAATCTAACTAAAACATACCAAATATTACTCCTAAACAAAGACATATAAGTAAAAATTTCTTCCAAAGTATCAATAACGTGGTGACACATAGCTTGCAATCAATCTTGCTTCAATTCTCACCTTTTATACCTGTAAAAAGAAAGAGAAAATAAAACAATGATTTAAATTGAAATATTCATATTAGTGTCAAAAGTAAAATATGTAACACAATTTGTCTTTCATATGTTATAATGCCCAATTTTATAAGGAATTTTTAATTTACAATAAAAATTTTATCATTACAAATTTAACATAAGTTAAAGTTTATGAAGTATATCATCACAAACTACTCTATTGGGCAACATAAGCTTCATCATTCATGAAACTGCTAACTATTAAAACATAATGTAAAAACTACAATCCAGTAAAATTATAAGTGCAAAATGAACAAAAGAACATAAAACCCCCACATAAAATCATAAAAATAGTACCAAGTTCATATCTTTAATAATTGGTCTCCTAAATAAAGAAAAAATAAAAAAGAAGACTAAAGTTGTGATTAGGCCTTATATGGTATAGTCTCCGGTCAATTACTGAACCACAGAGTGTGAAAAATGATAATAAACAATATAGCCAATAAAAGTTAGATCTACATATTCATTAAAGATCAACCAGTGATTATGTGAATATAGGGTTAAAGAATATGAAATACAAAGAAAAGACCTTTCTTGTTGATTTCTTTTCAATTTTTGTTTTCATTTCTCTCTATATATTTGTTTTAAAGTTGAACGTGGGAGATGAGAAAGGAAAGGAAGATGAAGAAGATAAAGAAGAAAAAAAGGAATTTTTTTTTTCTTTTCTGTATCAGTGTGATTGAACCACCTGAAAAGAAAGTTTTTTTTTTTATGTTTCCTATTTTGATTCTTTTAATTTTTTTCCTTTTTAAAATTAATCAATTGTCATGGGTCCACCTTATAAGATACTAGAAAAAAATATATAAAAACAATTACACTTCCACTATTTATTGATAATTGATACTCTATTGTTACAGTAAAATTAAGCAACTGTAAAACCTATAATGTAGCAATACTTTTCATTTCAAATTGATAGTCTTAATTTTTAAAAAATATTTCTCACTTTTTAGCAACCTTTTAACTTTTAAAGTCACAAAAATTAAAGATTTATCTATATATCTTATCGAAATGAGAATCATATATACGTAATTTATGAAGCTTTAAATATGAAATAAGCGGGTCTTTTTTTGTGTTTTTCATATAAAGAAAAAATATTTTCAAAAATTTTAAGTTAGGGCAAACTTTCTAACTCTTAGGCATATTTTGTGAAAATACAGTTTAAAAAATATAGAATCTAAATCATTCAAGAATGTGTGTAACTTTCTTTTAAAACTGAAATTGTTATGAGAATTTGAATTATAATAGATTTTCTATTTAGTTATTTCTTCATTATTTAAAATTTAATTTTATCCTATTAATATCAAAATAAGATTGTAGAGATATTGGTTTGGGTGGGTGGGGGAGGGTTTGTTTGTTGCTCCCCCCCCCCCCCCCTTTTTCTTTTTTTTCCTTTCTTAACAAAATTAATATAATGAAACAATTATGTTTTGATTCAATAAGTACACAAAAAAAATAAATTATTAAAATAATATTTCTTCCCATACAAATTTTACACATGTTACATTAGTATAAACATGTTAGGAATTATGGACACCTAAAATCTTTTATTTTTCTTTATTTTAGTCATTAAAATGAAAAG